TTTGCCTGTCCTTCTCAAAGTCCAGAGCCAGCCACCTAATTGTTACCCCCAGTGTGTGTTGTACCCTAGGCAGGGTACCTCACCTTCTTCAGGAAATTGAGAGCAGTACATGGGGTGGGGTGAGCATGGGAACATGGCAGAAAAGGAGAAAGGGAGACGTGCAGAAAAGTAGAAGGGCAATCTGGGTGATGACACATTAGTGTTTATTATATTATTTCCTAAGCTCTGTATTTTTAAATAACTTACTTAAAGATGTTTTAGAAAAAGGAAGAAGCATAGGGAGAAAGCCAAAGGTGAAGCCATAAGCGTGGAAGGGTTATTCAGAATGAAGCATCCAGAAAGCTCATTGAAGATGGAATGCTAGAGGATGCTGTGACAGTCAGGACACCAGGAGGAACGTGTCATGGGAGGCCTGAAGTATCTGTTCCCAAGGTGAGAGAGCAAAGTCAGGTCAAAGACAAACACCAGCTTTTGGGAACAACCCAAGGTGCCTCTGCAGCCTGACCCCCATATTAATTTGGTACACCAAATAAAAAATATTCCCCGCAGGAGTAGATCATGGTGAACTTGGTGCCTGTTTTCGTTTCCTGGGGCTGCCATGAGAAATTGGCAAGATCTAGTTCTGGAGGGCAGAATTCCCTAACAAAGGTGTCAGCAAGAAACTCACTTTCAGCCCTCACCTCTCGGAGAGCCTGCCTGCCCACAGGGGATGCCTGAAGGCTAAGAAATCAGAGTGAGGAAGGTGCAGAAGGGGAAAGATGCAGAGCCGTCAGAGGTCCTTTCCTGTTTGAATGTCATGACTCTTTCAAGCCCTCTCCTCTACTTCTCTGGTCCTTTTCTCATGACTTGGCATTTGGGGCCTTCATCATCTTCTTTCCTGATGAGTCTCAAACCTGTATCTTCATGTCAAACCCCTCTGTGTCACATTTTCAACTTCCTGTTGGGTGCTCTATTTTGAATGACCATATCACCTCAATCTCATTCTGTCCCAAACCACAATCAGTTTCTTTCCCTGGCTTCCCTATTTCAAAGAATCATAGAGGATGTTTGCTATTGAAAGTATCCTCTTAGAAATCTAGTGCAACCCCTCATTTTGTAAAAATGAGAACACCCAGCCAGTAAGATTTCTCCCCTTTTCCTAGATTCCATGCAACCTTCCCAATCCCCTCTCCCCCAAAGATATTCTCTTACCTCTCTCCTCTTCACCCCTGGTAGTTCTCGTTCCAGTTAGTCACAGTATCACCAACAAGAACTTTCTTGATGACTCCAAAGGGCTCTTTTCCCCTTTTGAGGCTGTGGCCCTTGTCTGAGACATAGATTGCCTTATTGTGTGATCATGTTTGCATGCTCAGAAACTTCCTTAAGGAACCATAGCTTCCTATGTCATAGCTCTTACTATGTGACAGGCACTGTTTTAAGTGCTTTACGTATAATTTATTTAATCTTCACAACAGTCCTATGAGGTTAATATTCGATCCAGTTAGAAAAGGAGACTTCTAGGATTCAGGGAGATTGGGCGATTTTGCCCAACATTACACATGTAGTAACCCCAAGTCCCTGTTCTTAGCCAGTATACTATACATCTATACCACCTTCCGTGAATAATTTTGTATCTCCACAGGACCTGGCTCCAACCCCTTCTTCCAATGCTTTTCTAAGTGTGACCTCAGGATTCCATCTCACTGCTTTCTTGTCAGCAATGTAGATTCCTGGCCCTGACCAACTGCCTCAGGGTCTTGGGGGTGGATAGATTCTTTAGACATACTCAGGTTTAAGAATCACTGCCTGAACAAAGTAAGCATTAGAGACTGATGAATGAATGGAGTCAGTTGACTCCAGTTCATTTTGAAGACACCACAGTGCCAAGTAAGGACAAATGAGGGGCCATATATGCAACAGCATCACAGATTCACAGCTCCTGCCAGCCATGGGTCATGGGATGCTGTGTATCAGTCAGAGGCTTAGGTCTGGACCCTCCATTCCTCCTCTGCCTATCTCAGTCTCCCAAAACTGTGTCTACTCCTTTCTTGATTTACTGCCTCTTGGGACATCAATATGTACATTCCAGATTCCTTTAAGTACTCCTGGGAAGTTTCTTATTTTACCACTCCCTTCTATCACCTTTCAAATATGACTAATCTGTATTCTAGGTGTGGCTTGTTAAATGGCTTAAATAACATCTAATCATTTACTGAGCACTTGCTATTGCTCACAACCCAATGAAGTAGGTGCTATTATTTGTACCTGTTTTACAGATGAGGAAACCATGGCTGGGAGAGATTAATAATTTGCCCCAAATCACACAGCTGGGAAATACAGGGCCAGACCTGGAACTGAGATCAGCTGGGTGTGGGAGACCACTTAATCATACTGCTTCCCACAAGTGTAAAGGTGATCCAACACTTCCTGGGTACCTGCTGGACCCATAGCACTGAATCTAAGTATTTAATAACTCACCTGATTAGAGACTTTAAGGATATATTTACATTTCCTCACAGAAAGAATAGTAACATTAATACAGTTGATTCCTTTGGTAGCTGTTCAAATAAAGACATTAACAACTGCCCACGGGCTTAAAGTAGAAATGCCCACAGCTCCATGAAACTTTGCTGACACATTCAGACATCTCCCCTTCACCCCTCCCCAGTTACCCAGTCATCAATCATCTCCCAGCTGGTTATCTAATCCTTAGAAAGAACCTCTCCCTCCTATCATCTTCCAGGATCAACAAAGCCATCCCCATACCCCTCTCCTTCTCCTAAAGTGAGTATCCTGGAATATCCTGATCCTAGGGGCACTTTGGACAAATTGCACATTTAAGATAGTTCAACCTATCTCAGGCCTCCAAAATACCTATCAATTAGGGCAGGTATGAAGCACACACTTTTGCCTTTGTCTAATAGAGAGAATTACCTTTATTTTCTACACCACATGTCTTCTGAGCCGCCCCTTATTGTCTATGTCTATGTCCCTGAATTGGGCACATAGTGCCAAGGTATATTATTCAGAGACAGACCTAATTTGCAGAAATTGTCTCCAAAATCCAAGAATAAACTCCTAGCTATTTTCAGACAAAGATAAGAGGTAGGAGTCTGTAAAAAAACAAGCTAGGAAGGAGCTTAAAATACTTCACATTCCAGAAACACCCTCCCTTCCCCCCCAGGAGATGGCTTTATTCCCACTCCTTTCTCAGCAGTCAACTCAAAGCTGAAGCTTGGACTCAGGCAGCTGGTACTAGTTGTGTGGGCTTAGACAAATGACTTAAATTTCTGAGTTTCAGTGTGCTCATCTGGGAAAAGGGGCTGACACCACCACCCTGTTCTCTCCAGCTTACTGTGAGAATTAAGATGTGTGAACAGTTCATGTACCAAGGAATCCCTACCATATTATGGAGAGCCCAAGATTCGTTCAATGTCTAGTATAACGAGAGAAGTATAAATTAGTCTCTTGACAAATGGCCTCAAAAAAGGATGAATACCCAAGGAATAGAGTGACTATAACTTAAAGTGGGAAGTGGCGTTTTAAGAAAAAAGTAATGTAAGTCTCTTTTTATCAAACAGCTACTTATGAACTGGATTTGGTGACCTAGGGGTAGTAGGAGTCAAGTGGAAGTTTACCTGGCAGTGGACTGGGTTTGGGATTCTGATTTTGTTATGTGACCTTGAGGAAGAAACCTCTATGGACTCCAGGACCATTTGGCAGATATTGCCTACTTAACCAGGCTCAGATGAAGGTCACTTTGTAAATTGCGGAATTTATAGTAGTATTGTGACTTTACTCAGGCTCTGTAGGAGAGCAGGCAGGCAATATCCACGCAGGTCCCAGTTATACCGCAGGATTAACTGAGGCAAAGTGGCTTTTTCTCACCACAATGCCTATGACCTTTCTGAACAGCAACTGTTTTCCTTTCACAGTCCCAGAACGGGCCTCTCTGGGGCAAGACTAACCCACCCAGCCCTCAAATGCAGCAGAGTGGCTGGTCATGGAACATTTGTTCCACTTCATCTCAGGAGTGGCAGGCGCAATGGCCCCAAGTAGAGACCGTCCCAACAAACAGTTAAGTGATGGAATGCCATGTTTACCTCCTCCACACAACCAATGCTAACAAAACAAGCTGATCGTTATTATGCAGTGTTAAGACCTCTGGCTGTGGAGATAGGAAGAGCTGGGTTAAATCCCAACTCATTTACTTCCTAGCTATGTGTGTAACCTCGGGCAGTTTTGTTTCACCCTTAGAACCTCAGTTTCTCTCCTGGAGCGCTGGCACAAGGCATGATATGTAGGAGGAAGCAGTTTTCAAACTTCCACTGAGGTTCTCTGAGGCCAGGAAGCAAACTCAGAAACAGAGGGCTTAGACACAGGCAGTCCTCTGTCAGGCACAGCTATTATTATAATTCTATCCCTTGCATTTACGGCAAGATTATGAGAACTATAGGAGGGAAAGGGAGCCTCATTTTCTCTCGTTCACTGAGGGAGAAAGAAAAAAAATCACAGTATATCGCAAATTCTCAAAAGAATTTCAAAAAAGGCATCCTGCAAAGGGTCATCAGACCACTAAGGTAAGAAAAATAGCACCCTAAAGAATATAACGCTTTATAGTTCAGAAAGTGGTTTAAAGTCCACTACTTCATTTAATACCTGCCAAAAATCCCTTGAAGTAGCATGTGTCCCCATTTTACAGATAAGGAAACTAGGGCTCAGACAGGCAAAACCAAAAGGCACAGAACAAGTACGTGGTAGAACTAGGATTTCAAGCCTTCTGAAGTACAAATTCAGTACTCTTTGCAATTCACAAGAGAATTTCATGTTCACCAAGTACACCAAGTACTGGGCCTACATTGTATAGATGTGTCTGAAATGGCATTTCAGGAACCCAAAGTGGAATGACCAGGTTAGCAACATGGTTAGAAAAATGCAACCCTGTGGATCACTTGGGGCTACACTGAAATAGTTTTCCTTGGTTCAGGGGGCTCAGTTTGCATAAGGTACCCCCACTCCGACATGTTTGTGAAATCTTTTATTAGATGTCCCAGAAGGCAACATTTTAAAATCAGGCAATCTTTAGTCACAACTAAATACAAAATTTCAGGTAAACTTGCCTTTCAAAATAAATCGGATTCTTGCAAGAGGAGAATTGCCCGAGAGTTTTTTCTTGTACAAAAACACCACCACTTTGCAAAAGGCATACAAAAATACAGTATAAAAAAAGGAAAAAAAAAAAAAAGACTGCTTCCAACATAAGACCCAACAGCAGCTTATAAAACACAAGCGATTCAGGTGATATAGCTTAACCTACATCCCACCTGTTCTCCAATGACAGTTCCAGAAGTCGGCTGGCTCCCCAAACCCATGCTCCAGAAGGTAGAGAGGCTTTTTCAAACTTCCACTGAGGTTTTCTGAGGCCAGGAAGCAACCTCAGAAACAGACCATCATGCATAATAGGTTTGGAAGTAGCAGCTGGCTTTCCAGAGCTACACAGAGTGCGCTACCATCCTCCCCTCCCCCACTCTGAAACCCACAGCCAGCAGGCACCTGTTGCCCAGAGCAGAGTTCTGGAGGGGCCCGTCTAGGCCAGGCTAGGGGCTCCTGAGGTTTGGGTCACATGACACCTGTTGGATTGGATGCCTTTCCCAGACCACAAGCTGCACCTGGAATTCACTTGGAGGTTCCGAGTCCAGCTGGGGCAAAATTCATCATGGTCTGCTAAGCAGAGCTCCTGGAAGACCCTTTAAAACCCACCAGGAAGCTAGTCCACCTTCTGGAGTGCTGCATGAGTCCCAGCAACTCTCCCAGTAAAAACTTCAGTAAGGCCCAGGTTCTGGGAAAGGGATCCGACTCATGTCAGGAGGCTACCTGGTGGCTGTAGAGCCAGCAAGCTCCTTGGAGTTGTAGGATAGGTTTACATGGTGCTAGTAGAACCTCAAACTTATCAGTCAGGAATTGAGATGAAAGGGAGATGGCAAAGAGGAAGTGGTACAATTCTCCCTCCTGAGGTGCCTAACATGTCTTGAGAAGAGATTCCAAGATGGAAAACACCTGGTCAGGTAACATGTTCTGGCGTGGACTCCAAGCCTTCCCAGAATCCATTTCCTTGGGTCTTAGGGAATTACTTCTGACCTATGGGAAAGGGATATTATACAGCCCATTGCATAACAAAGGCAGAAGGAAACAAAGTCCCTTGTAAGGACAAAATAGGCTCCCTCAGAGGACAGGGACCAGAGGGCTTTAAGAAAAAAGATTTAGAGACCAAGCTCTTTAAATGTTCTTAAGGTTGCAGCATTGAGAATGGGAGGAAGGTTATCATTTGACATCATAATATATATATATTAAAGGTTTCCAATTCCTCAGCTACTGTAAAGTGTCTGATAGTGAGGTAATGGTCCATGTTGACCAAGTCTGTGAGCTTGTCTTCACCCAAGACAGCTCGTATGTCTCCTGGAAAAAGGAGCCTCAGGGAGAGCTTCCAAGCCCAGCTGTCCTTGCATCACCCCAGAGACACCAGTGAGAGCATCTTTTCCCAGCCTAAAGCTCATCTGGAGTGTGAGATTTCAAGCAAGCTGGAGCCCCTGGCCTCAAACAACGTCCACCACCTGTTGCATAGCATCTGTCAGGCTTTTCTTCGGAGCTAGTAATCTAGGCAGACCCCAAGTCTCCTCAGTCAGCTGCCTGCTTGGGAGCCAAAGGTGCCAGGGAAGACACAGCACGCCCATGAGTCAGGGAAGAGGGAGAGCTGGGTTTCAAGGTTTCCGAGAAGGCAAGCCCTTATTGTATGTGCACCGGCTGCAATGCATTCCGGGGGTCTACTGTTCGGACTGTCCCACCTAACTAGAATGTGCAAATTACTAAGGGGAAGAGGGGAAGTTAAAAAATAAACTTGAGTCTTTGTCAGACAGAAAGCAGTCAGGCTTTTTGGTCAGTTAGTAGCCACTGAGGTACGCAATTCTTTTCTGCAGCTGCTGCTGCCGGCATCGGAGCTGCCTCTTCTCTGTAGCCATCCTCTTCTCAGCCCCCACCAGCGCTTGCAAGTATTCCAAAGCCTTGCTCAGGATCACTACTTTGGGGGCCTTAGAGCAGCTGGCCAAAGTGGGTACCTGGTCCCTCAGGGCCAAGAACCTCGAGCGGAGGTCGTTCCGCCTTTTGCGTTCCAGGAAGTTGTGGTTCTTCCTCTTGGTCACATCCTCGGTGTCCGAACTGACAGGTTTAGGGTGGCAGGAGTGGGGAGCCTTACTTTCTACTGGTGGGGAGCTCACAATCTGTTCATTTGCTGCTTCTTCCTTTTCCTCAGGGGCCTCTCTCTCCAGAGCCACTTCTTGAGGGCCTCTCTCTGGAGCCCCCCCTTGGGGACAGCTTTCTGGAGGAAAACGGGCAGCATAGTTGTGCTGTTGCTGATGGATGGAGATGTGGAAGTGTTTCATGCAGGGGTCCAAAGGGTCTGCTCGCACCGTGATGGTGACTGGCTTCCGTACACCCAGGGACTGTCTCTTCTCCACTGTCACAACGTCAATTTCTTCCCCTTCTGTCCAAGAAGAGAGATCAAGAGAAACACACCCCATGAAAAACACATACACAGACCTTTGCCGGGGCTTCAGAATGAAGGTGACATTTTCCCAATTTAGATATAAACAAAATGAAGTGGAGAGAAAGACAGCTGATTCATCTGTAATGGGGTGAGGGCAGCGTGGAGGAAAGTAGGGGAAATAAGCAAAAAGGAAAATATTCTCCAATTTCCTTTTGCACAGTAAGGCTTAGATAAGAACAAAAGGCAGACCCAAGCCAACAGCCCCCAGTCTGCACAGACTCTACCCTCCCCCACAGAGGGAACGGAGAGAAAGAGCTATTGGCCTGGGACAAAGTTTAGCTATAAAGATCTTCCCCAGTCGGGCTCTTTCATGCTCCATCAGAATTGTAAATGAGGGGGTCTGTGGGCAGGGCTGCCCTTTTGTTCCTGCCCAGCACAGCCTGCACTTGGGGAATTGTTACTTTTCACAAGTTATAAATCCTATTATTCCCCCACCTCTTTTCTGCTACATCCCTTACAGCTGAAGATTCAGAGAAGGGAGGGCTACAACCCATTCCTCCTCACCCTCAGAGGGCAGGGAAAGTGTTTCCCTTCGGAGTGTTTTGCTCGTGGTTTCAATGGGTTTCTAAAGTCATCCATCATTTATAGGTCACCTGCCCCACCCCCTTTCTTGGACCAGCAGAAGGCTGAATTTGTAATCGCGGGTGGGCAAAGCTGCAGGAACTTCACGAAGGTACCAGCGACCATTTCCAAGCTACCTATGCTGGGGGCAGGAACTGAGTGGCAGGAGCATGTCCCGATACGAGGGCCAAAACACCTGGGACCTGGAGTCACCAGGGCATGTCCCCATCATTTCCTGGCTCGAAGGTCTCTTAAGGCTATCCCAAACAGGACAGAGGAGCAATTAGGGGAAAACCTGCTCCAAACATTTTACAGCCCCCACGTAGAAGGTCACCTTAATGCATTTCAGTCTGGCAACAGAAAAAGCTCAGTTCTCGGCCTCTTTTGCATATCAGGATGCAAGAGACCCTTTGTCAGGAAGGCTTCCATTGTGTGGACAATCGCATTATTTTTCCATTAATAAAACCTGACCATTCAGCCCTCCTGGCTCCAAGGCCTGTGATTGGCTGGCTAAGCTGTGTTTGGAATGCTGTTTTACCCAGCCCCTAGCCCCAATTGGCTGAGCTTTGCCGTCAGTCACTCTCCCCACCCCCCTCATTGTTTGCAATCTGTTGCATTTTGTTCTGGGCCATGTGGCCTGTGAGTGAACCAGGAGCTTACAAACAGGTTCAGGTTAAAGGGCAGGTCAGAGAATGATTCCGGACGCTTCCCCACTTCCCCACATCCCAAAGCTTTAATATTTCAGTGGTGTAAACCTCATGGCTGGGAAAGCTCTGCCTAAGGAAGAAATAATATTACGACACCATTCTCTTTTTCATAGAGTAGTGTCTAACTCAACTCGGACAAGGAGATGTCTTCAGCTGGGCAATCAAGCCCAACCCCATCGCAAAGGGAGAAAAAACTAAGACCCAGATCAGCCAAGTCCACACATGACCTCTAACATTTTGAAACTCAAATTAAGATCTCCAAACTCCCAAATCAATGCTCTTCCCACTCTTATCATTCCATAAGCCTTTGTAGAGATACATCTTTATTGATTTCTTGATCTCAAAACTCCCACTTCAGCCATTAAACAAACACAAGCTCTTAGTGTAGAAAGTAGGTTAAAATTGATCTTAACACAATGGACCGAAAAAATTGACTTTTAATTTTTCTTGTTATACACTTGAGGGGAAAAAATAAGGATAACAACTTCCATGCCCCATTCCCCAGTTCCCTCTCAAATGGCCGTGTCAATGTTATTCTTAAACTACAGTGAGTTTTCTCTGTCCTGATTTAGTTTCAGTCTGTATCCTATAAAAGTACCTTCTCCAGTATTGCACAGGGACAGAGGTATGAGGTAGATTAGGCTAAGAACAGCTACTCTGGTGGCACAGGATGCCCAAGTCTGCCCTTAGTGAAGCTTACACTTGCATTGAGGCCTGGGGAGGGGCTGGCACTCCGTATTCCTGACCCCAGCACCTAACCTTGGGGACCTCTCTCTGGCACAAAACAGGGGCCAGTGAACATTTGTTGAATGCAAAGACACAGCGAAAGCCCACAGATGAATTGGGAGGGAGGTAGAGGGACACCTTTCCACCTCAGGTCAAAGCAACAAAGCCAGGTGTAGCCCTTCTCACTTTAGCTACCACGAAGATCCTCTAAACATCAAGGAAGAAGTACCTGGTTGCAATGGAGGGTTGGGCAGAGGCTGGTTAGATGGCAGGAAGCTGGGCCTCACTGCTAGTGATTTCCTAATTATAAGCCTCAGATTTCCTGTTAATGGGGAGCATTTAATCCTCAGCTACCTGTCTCATAGGTGATGGTATATGGGTGCACAAATGTTAAGGGGTGGGAGGTGCAAGGGGAAGGTATTATTGGTATTTTAAAGTTAAACAGACAGGAGACCAGGTTTTTTAAAGGATGAAGGCTTTGGCTTTGTACAAAAGGCTCCTCAGCTTCTTTTCTCCCTAAGGGAGTGTGAGTTACCCACAGAAAGAGCAGTAACAAAAACTTCAAGCTTGGAGTGACCCTTAAGGGACCTCTTCCAGCCTCCAGAGGACAGAAATCCCCTACAGTCCAATTCCAGAATTGTCCTCCCTAAACGCCAAGCCTCATCCTGTCTCCCTTGTCCCTGGGGCTCCAATTACCATCAAAGTGGCTGGCTCCCACGCCACTTCTTCAAGCTGTTTACTAACACACCCACGTGCCAGACAGACACCGCTGGGGGCTACACCGGCAGCTTCAGCCAGAGAAAGGAGGAGGTGGCCAGAGGGCTTAATTAAGAAGACCAGTGCCTGACCTCGGACAGCTGCGGAGTTTGGGCCACCCAAGGGGTGCATCCCTCTTGGATGGCCCGGGGCATTCCTTACCCGAGTCACTTGGGCTCTCGGACCCCGAGCAGGCCTGGGTCTTGGGCTCGCCGAGCGGACAGGGGGCAGCCGGCGCCGGGTTGCTGGCTTCGAGGCTAGGAGTGCAGTCCGGGGCGGCGGGCGCCTTGGCTGGGTTCCCCCGGGACGCGCCAGCGGCGAGCCGGTCGCTCACCACTCTCTCCAGCCGTTCCCGGGCCGAGAAGCCGCTCCACATGCAGTCACGGCGAATGATGGAGGCGTAGTTCCTGCCCCAAGCTTTCGAATGGCCCCGGGATTCCGCCTCGTCCCCGGCGCCCCCTCCGGGCCACGGCTCCGGAGGACCAATTCCAGAAGCCGGGTCCGCGACGCCAGAAGCCGAGCCCCAGGGTGGCGATGTGGGGGGCGATGGCACCAGTTCGAATTTTTTCCAAATGTCTTCGCTGGGCGCCGTGGAGCGGTAGAAATCCTCCCCGCAGTCATAGTCGTAGAAATAGTGCTGGTACGAGTCGAAGTCCATGTCCGCTCCCTGCGGGAGGGAAGGGGGTTCGTGCTGACTGGGGTGCGGGCCCAGGGAAGGAGTCCGCGGACCCCCCCAGCACAGCCGGCTGCCAGGCTCGCGTCCCTCCCCAGCCTCCCAGCTTGCAGTCCTCACCCTTCCCTCGGGTCTGGGGAAACCCGGCCCTGGATCAGCGTGCCAAGGGAAGCCGCTCACAGCGCGCGGACTAGATTGACGGGGAGCGAGTTCAAAGCAAACTTTGCTAGCACCGCCCGGAGCGCAGCTCTCAGGGCCCGGTGGGGCCGAGCGGGGGCGCGCGATGCCCAGCAGGCAGCCTGTACCCGCCCCGCAGCCGCCCGTAGCCTCACCTCGCTCCAGCTGTTCCCAGACCTGGAGCGGACCGGCTCCCCGCGGGCTCGGGGCAGCCGGGCAGCCCGCACACTTGCACATGCGCGCCACCGAGCGCGCGCCCCGCGCTCGTGCTCTCCCTCTTGCTCGCGCACGGCGGCCCTAACGCTCCTGGAATCGGCGCGGGAGCGCGAGTTTGCAGGCGCATTGTTTCCGGCTGCCTTATATCTCGTTGCGCGCCCCAGGCTCTGGGACTGGAGGCGGATCCTACGGGACGAGCCCCGCCCAGATCCCGCCCCCTCCCGGCAGCCGACAGGTGGGGGCGGTGGAGTCTCCACCTCATCCTTCCTGGCTGCTCCCTGCCGCGGTACTCAATTCTCCGTGCTCCCCAAAGTGATTGCACGATGGGGAGCGCAGGGCAAGCAACTAGCTGATTCAGCCTGAAGGTGGCCTGCTGGAGGCGTGACTCTTTAACGAGGCCCGGGCGGTCCCCAGCTGGCCGAACTGAAGCCGCTCTCCGCGCCCACCCTGAGTTGGGGAATATGGTTACTCCCCGCCCCGCCCCTCGAGCCTGCTTCTCAAGCTCCGTTCAGGTGCTTCTGGAGTGAGCAGCGGCACCTCCATCGCGCCACCTGGCGGCCCTCAGCCCTGAACTGGAGATGGTTCCTGGCACCGGCTTCAGCACCGGCTGGCCCGTTTCTTCAGCGCGGTGGTCCAAACATGGCCCGCAGAAAAGCGAGATGGGAAGACTCTGGTCTTGGGAGCCTGAAACTTAACCTTCTGTTTCAGTTTTATCTATAAAATGAAGGGATGGTAATACACGATTGCTATGATTTTAAAAGGTAGCGTAATATGAGGAAGGGAACTAGGCTAGAAAGAGAGGCAAACAAACAGACTAAGCCCCCGGTGCAGGTGTAAGAAGTTTTTCCTCAGGGTCCAGGCTGGACTGAGACTCTTCTCCCTCATGCCACCCACAAAACAGGAGCTCTATAGGAGCTGTAGTAGTAGTAGAGGAAAGAGAATGGGGATTGGGAGTCTGGAAACTTCAGTCAAGTCCATGCTTTGCTACTTGTTAGCTGTGGAGCCAAACCATTGGAGGCCTCAGTTTGCTTATCTGTAAAATGGGAACACTGCTTACAGCAGCATCTCTGGCCAAGATGATGGATATACAAGCTCTTCATGTCATCTCCTACACAGACTACCTGTGGTAGAAAAGGCAAGCTGAACTATACCAGTGTTTCTATTTACGCCAAGGGGAGTAACTTGGGATAGGAGACAGTACATCTAGAATATTCTACCTGGCATTCAAGTTCTGGTCCCTGTCTACAATTAGTGGCCTAACTGCCTGCTGTTGTTCTCTCCCCACCCCTCCTGCTATTCTGTGGTATAAGAATAATTCCTCCCTGTTGGCATCCCAGCAGAGGGCAGTGAGAAGTCCAAGCAGTCAGTGTGTTTGGAGCATGGGACACAAGGTGTAAGGTGATCAGTGGGCTGGGAGAAAAGACAGGGAAGATGACCCCCTCAGTTTTGGAGATGTTGGGTCTAAGGTGTCTGTGGGCCATCTCTGAAGGTAGCCACTAGTTCTTACTAGCTTTGGAACCTCAGTACCTAGAAGAACTTCTGGCAGATATTTGTGAACTTAATGAGTACTCAGCCAACCAGATTTTATTCAGACAGTGTGTGTGTCCTGCTTTGTGCTGAACAGAAGGCTCAGATCAAAAAGTTTCCAGGTTCATTGCAGCCATGAGACAGAAGGATTGGAATTGCCTTCCTTAGTAATTTGTTCTCTGGTCCACAGATGTCTGAGATGGTTGCAGTACCAGTCAGGGTTCTTGGTTACAAATGACAGAAAGCAATCCTAGATAACTTTAAGTATAAAATTATTTTATTAGAAGAATTTTGGATATAGAATCCACAGCAGGCTGGGAATCTATGCTTGGGAAAATGGATCTTCTTTCTCTGTAGGAGAGCCCTTCCCCATAGTTCATTGTAGTGGTGATATCCAGGGGCATAGGTGGCCCCGCCCCAAGGACTAGAATAAAGGAAATCAAGTCGTCCTCTGAGACTCTTTCATCTTGCACACTTTGTTTAATGTCTGTCTTCCTCACCAGACTATAAGCTCAATGAGAGCAGAGACAAATGCCAATCTTGTTGACCTCTGTAACCCCAGGGCTTACCATAGAGTCTGGGACATCATAGGTGCTTTGTAAACATGTTAACTGCTTGGGCACAGGCCACTAATTCTCTGAAGTAGAGATTTGCCAACTGGCCTGATGAAACAGAATAATTCTCAGGCTATTATTGTAGACTGTAACGTGAATAATTGCATTAATTAATGCAGTTAAAGAAAGAGGTCAAGAGGGGTCTGGATAGCCAGTGAATCAGAGAGCAAGGAGAGTCACCAAGGCAATCACCAGAGTGTTTCTCTAGCACTGCCTGGGGATGGGAATGCTGGTCCAGGAACAAGGGAGATGGAGGTATCATTCTTTGAAACCTAATTCAACCGCAACTCACTTGTGCCCTGGATCACCAAGCAACCTGCTGAGAACCACACTGTTCCCACAGGGAGAGGATGCACTCATCAGTGAACAAGAAGATCCACTCTTCTCCAAAACCCTGCTTTCCCTTACAACTTAATGAATTGGCATCTGGTTTGAAATATCAGTCTTGTGAGCCTGGTTAATGTGTGTCTGTTCCATATAGATGCTGCTGCTTTTAGGGCTAACAACTCCAGTTTCTGGGGTGATGTCTGGACCCAGGATGGTGATGAATCCATCAAGGTAACAAATGCTACCCTAGGGATACTCCTTTTTTTCCTGAAATTTTTTATTTCCTTTATTTTTGTTAAAATATATTTTTAATCAAAATAATACATGTACATTTCTTTTTTAAATGTATGACAAGGTTAATAAAAAAGGCACTCTTCTGTCTTGCCTTTACCATCCCCCTTGATTCTCACCCTCTGAAGGCAACTAGTCTTAGCTGGTTTTTGTCCCTAATATTTACTTCATATTTTGACCAATCTATTTTTCCTGATTTTTAAATTCCTATTGACATTCTACAATACAAGACGATGTAGCTTTTAATTCCCTTCCTGCCCCCAGGTACTTGGTATTCCCATACTCTCCAAATATAATTATAATTTAATATTTAAACAAATATTACATATTTACAGTATTTTGACTATATGCCTGTAGACTACTCTGACTACATTTCCTTTCTTATATAATGTTTTTCAGACTTAGTTTCATTTTTTTCTTTTGCTTAGGTTTCTATGTATATGTCATAAATTTAACCCTGCACATTCCCTCCAGAGCTACAAAGATTATTTCATATAGTCAAACACATCAAGTGTCTATCAGTTCCATTTTTCTTTTCTTGGAAACATCCCTCTCGATTCCTTTGTCTTCCTGTACTAACCTGAACTTATTGATGTCTAGGCCTGCCTCATAGTTGTCATTCTGCAACTTCCCTTACCACTATCCTGGAAATTCCCTTTCCTTCTCTCCTGTGTTGGCCCACTATTTTGGGGAACTCATTGCTGCTTCTTTCTTGATTTATTTCCTCACATTGATAGAACACATCCTAGAAACTGCCTGAGAAAGGATCCTTGGGAAGTAAAAATTTTGAGACCTTGCATTTCTGAAAGTTTCTTTAGTATACTCTCACCTTTGGTTGATAGTTTGACTGGGTATAGAATACTAATATAGAAGTAAATTTCCCTTACAAATTTAAAGGTATTGCCTTATTGTATCTTGATGTCATTTGATAGACAAACCTTCTCAGGTAACCTGTTTTTCTCTCTGGAAGCTATCTGTGCTAGATATACTCTTTGTATCAGGCATTCTGAATTTTTTAAATGATGCACCTTACTGTGGGTCTGTTGTATAATAAAGAATTTGATGGACCTAGAGTACATAATGCTAAGTTAAATAAGTCAGAGAAATACAAATACCATGTGATTTCACTTATGTGTGGAATCTAAGAAGTGAAACAAACAAACAAAACAAACAGAAACAGACTCAGATAACACAGAACAGTTTGGTGGTTGCCAGCTGGGAAGAGAGTGAGGGGATGGGTGAAATAGGGGAAGGGAATTAAAAGGTGCAAACTTTCCAGTTGTAAAATAAATAAGACAGAGGTATGCAATGTACAGCATGGGGGATATAGTTAATAATATTGTAACAACCTTGTATTGTGACAGGTCATAGCTATTGTGGTTTATTTATTGTGGTGATCACTTCATAATGTATGTAAATGTTGAATCACTATGTTGTACACCTGACACTAATAAAATATTGTATGTCAACTATACTCCAATAAAAAAAAAAAGAAAGAAGAGAAAAGAACTTGACTGTCTCTGGTCCCTGGGAGGTAGCCTCTAAATCCTTGGAATTTCCCAAGTGATGGGACTTTATTTGTTATTCATGATGGGCCCTGATAGTTTATGCTAATGAGGTTACTCATAGTGGGCCCCTAGATAGTTTAGGATGACTCAGAATAGGGGGTGGGCAAGCAAAAAAGGCCAATCATGTGATTAGAGGGTTGGGGCTTTGAGCCATGTGATATGAGCCTGACCTTGGGGAAGGAAAAGGAGGCTAGAGATTGAGCTCAGTCACTTGCACAATGATCTAATACGCCATGTCTATGTAATGAAAACCCAATAAAAACTCTGGACACTGAAGCTCCAGTGAGCTTTCCTGTTTAACAATAATCTATTGTGTTATTAAACATTTATGCACTGGGAGGGTGGTGCATTCTGACACTGGAAGAGGACATTGGAAACTTCACACTGGGACCCTCCAAGACCCTGCCCTAGTGTCTCTTTTCTTGGCTGGTTCTGATTTGTATTCTTTTTGCTGTATTAAATCTGTTACTTTAAATATAGCGTTTTCTTGAGATTTGTGACTTATTCTAGTGAATTATCAAACCTGAGTGGGTTGGAACCCATGAATTTGTAGTCAGTTGCTCATAATTGTATGTGGCCTGGGAAACTGTGAACTTGCAGCCGGTGTCTGAAGTGAGGTCAGTCTCATGAGGACTGTGAAGTTTGTCTAACTGCCCCTAACCAGTGAAGTTTGGCCTAATTCTGGATAGTGTCAGAATTGCACTGTAGAATCTTTCTACATTTTTTGCATGGGCTTTTTAACCTGGAAACCCATTCACTCTGTAATTATTTTTTTTGAAAAACTCCCCCTCTCCATTTTTTCTTCTTTCTAAAACTTTTA